ATATATATATATATATATATATATATATATATATATATATATATAATTGAAATTACTCGTACATAGTTATTGCCGTATTAACTGCTCGAAGTGTGTGTTTTTCATGGGACCAGATTTCTTTTTCTTTTTGCTGAGACCGTAGGTCAAGGCCAAAAGTAAATTTTTCCCATGACAAAACAACCACTTTTTTCATGAAATATGAACTTTCTTCTATAACTTCATAAAAATTATAATATTTAAAAAGGTTTTAATTTTAAATTTTAATGGGTGTTTTATATCTCTGGAAATGGTAGGATATTATATAGGGCCATGAATGCGGTAATATTACTAAGGAATACGTATATTTTCTGCATAATTTAGCCATGCGTGAAGTATATTTTTTCGTGGTAACAAGAAAATTGTTTTGACAACCGTATTTTTAAATGGATACCAATAAAATGTTCTACTTCATGTATGGATAGCAGTCCCCAAAATCCGACTTTTTTTGTACAATTGAAGAAAACAAATTAATGTTGTTGTTTTTTTAGATTGGTGGGAATTCATAGTGTTTTTTTAGATTGGTGGGAACTCGAATTTATATTGATAATTAATTTGAAAAGATGTACTTACGTCATAATGCATCTTCTTAAGAATTCAATAAAAGAAGACCAGTACTTGGCTCTTTCTTATTGGCACTTCCAGCTCCTGCGTGGATTGGCTTCCATTAGCTGTCGACTGCTTTGGATGCGTCGTCAAAGGCTCTGCCGTTGGTGCAAGCAAGCGTACAACCTGTTAATTGATTTAGCTACTCTACGAATCCGGTAGAACGTAGTCAGTTGTCGAAGGTCATTTATGACATGACGTCTGGCGAAAAGGCTATTTGGGAAGGGATTGAAATTCACAGACAAAAATGTTGTAAGTTTGGACGAGTAAAAAGTTGTTTACCGGATCCATGTGAAGTGACTGAATAGCTTGAAGTAAAAGGAAATATATTTTATTTAAACAAACTGGCAAACTAATTTGTGTTGCTGGCAATTCTTAAAACAAATATATAATAAAAAACTATTTAAATAATTTGAATGTAAAAATAATTAAGGAATAGATATAAAATATATTGTAGATAATAGTTTTTTTCAATTGTTCTATACAAAAATTGCTTTAATGTTGAATTAAACATTTTGTTTGTTATTAATTAATTTATCGATTCATTTGTTATTTATTACTTAATTAAACACTTGTTTGACCGGACGCATGTGTTCTGAGTACAGCACGAGGTCCTGATTGCACAACTGAATCAAAGTAGAATTTTCGTTCACTTACCACAATGCTTTGCCCCGAGGTGGCCGTGGGCTTGATCCATACTCGCACTCTAACCACTCCATGTAGAGTTGTGTTGAAGTCTTGCCATTATGCTTGTGAGGATTTGTTTCCTATTTTTATCCTTGTGATTTTCTTATTGTCATTGAAAAATTCAGGTATGTTTGGCAACTCAGTTCTATGAGAGTAATATGGTAAAATAGTGTTGGTACATATTAAAGTTATTCGTGAAATAAACGTTTTTTAATGCGCTTGGATCCAGTAAAAATTTGGGAATAGATAGCATGACGGTGCGTGCACTTGATTCGCATTCTTGTTTCATTGGCTTAAGCTGCCTTTTCATTGGCGCGACCCAACTGCCCGCGAGGCGTTTTATTTTATTATTTCATTTAATGTATTTGTAACACATATCACTAATAAATTTTAAATCTATGCACTTCTCCATATAAACTTTAACTGCAACAAATCACACTCTCCTTCGTGCTCCCAAATATGCTTAGAAAGGGTTCCACCGTTCTTCTTCGCGTATTCATATATAGGTATTTTTTTAATGAAGGGAAATAGAATCCGAAGGTTCCTCTTCCCCTTCCTTGTGCCCACCCTTGTGCCCGCTGACCAGATCGGCAGCGGAGCGCGCCCCTCGCCCCTCGCGCTCCGCGGAAATCAATAGCCCTGGTGGGCCCGCAACGACGGCGCGACGCGGCGCGGCTCGGTGCAGCCGGGCCCGCGAGCCCCGAAGCGGGGACCGCCACGGCGGCTGCCCCCACAGCCCCCGACCTCTTCTCTCCGCCGCTGCGCCCCGTGCGCCTCCGGTAACCACCCACCCGCCCCCGCCTCCGGCACTGTATCACTCCAGCGTCATCACTGCCCCCAATCCCAGTCGTCACCACTGGCCCGCCATCCAGCAGTCCGCCATCAGGCTGCCCACCTCGCCGCTTAACCCCGCCTCCTTGCGAACGCCCCGCTACCCCGGCGCGCCCCAAACGACCCCCTGCAAATCCTGCCCCACCACTCCGCAGCTTCTACAGTTCAGCCCTCTGCCATCCGCCTCTCCTCATCAGTCCCTGCCGCCCCCTCTGCGCACCCCCACGCACGCCGGCGCCTAACCTCATTTCGCGCCACCCCGCCGCCACCCGCTGTCTTCGCGCCGCACCTCCGTCCCTGCGCCGCCGCTCCGCAACGCCCCCCGCCATCTCCCGCAACCTCTCGCAGCCTTCCACAGCCACCCTCTGCCCTCCGCCTCGCCCCATCAGCCCCCGCTGCCTCCTCCGCCATCTCCGTCGCCACCGCCATCTCCGCAGCCACAGCCGCAAAGGGATTTATGAACGCTGAGTCGTTGAGACTGTGATTCCAATATTGGTTCTACTGCTCGTTATTGGTGGAGCAAAGATCCGCAGGGAAAAGTTAGTTTCTTAGATGTTTTATCGGACTTTGTTACGGCGGGAGGATAGCCAGTGGAACGGTTTTTGATGCGAGTGTACGTAATCGATGGAACAATAGTGAAGGTTGTTTTTTTTCTTTTTTAGTATTGTGCCTGTTTTGTGGTCTTTGATGGTATCTGGCGAGAGAGGAGTAAAAGAGGTGGAAAGTGGGTGAATTGCAACGAGGCTGAAAGTAATGGGAAGCTTGAACGGCCGGAGTGCGTGTTTTTATCGTTCCATTGTTTTAGCTGTCCAAGAACACGGCGAGTTGCGGAAAAAGTACATTTAGTCGAAAACTGTGGAGTCTTAATTTCTAAACATATCCCAAACACATCCTGTGAGTTCAATAATTTAAAACTCATATATTCTGTTTAAGATTTAGACTATTCATTTCTCATATAAGTTTTGAAGATAAATATTCTGCTAAGACATCTAATGTTTAAACAAATATAATAGTGCGAAGAAATTATGTTTCCAGAATTCACTTTATAAACAAGAACATTAAAAAGTGAAAAAACATAGAAAATTTTGTGTTAAAATAAGTGTTTAGGTTTAAGTTTCAAGAAAAAAAAATTACAATAGGTTAATCTTCATCCACCCTACTGAAGAGTAGGATGTCTTTGCCGCATATACGAAGCTACATGGGCTATTACTATTATTTAATTATTATTTCTAATTTGTTTTTTGACACTAGACGTCAATAGTTTAGCCTAAGCAAGCTTTTTGGCAGGACACCAGACGAGAGGTTAGTGCGTTTCCCGGTTTGGGCTGTTGGGAGGTAACTTTTTTAGGAGAAGCCCGTAAACCTAAGGTAGGCGCCGGAACTCACCATCAGGCAGAAAAAGATCACTGGTGCATCCTGCGCTTAAAAAATACACAACACTTGCGGGAATAATGACCTTAGCAGTTGTCGCGCCCGAAAAATTCTAATTAATCAATCTAAGCAAGTGTTTTGTTTTTAAATTTAGTCTGATAAAAGAAATGTAAAACAGAATGCCTGAGACTCATTTAAGGTAACTCTCGAACTCAGTCATAAATACACGGCAGAGAGAATTAATGCATCTAAATATTATTTACATTTAATTTTAGTAAACTCAGTCGGTTAACTATCTTCTTTCTGTGTTTCGTGATCCGTAATGTTTATTCATCCGCTGCAGTTTGGTTTCACATGCCTACTGTCATGAAATTGGTCCCTTGTGCTACTTT